GAGGATGAGGATGAGGAGGAAGAGGAAGAGGAGGTGGAGAATAAAAACCCGCCAAAAAAGCTCAAGAAGAAGCTTCCCAAAGAGCCCCTCTCGGGCGGGGGGGAGAAGAAGCTGAAGAGGAAGGGTGAGTGCCCAGGGGACAGGGATGGCTTAAGCCCAGCTCTGCTGCCCCTGGGATCTGTCCTGGGATGAAGGAAGTGTCTTGCACCCCGTCACTGTCCCGGGAGGCTCAGGGGCTGCAGAGCCATCGGCCCCTCCCCAGGCAATCTCCCCCCAGCTCAGCCCTTTCTGCTGCTCTGACCCTGTCCCCTCCTTGTCCCCGTCACTGCCCGTTCCCATCCCCTGGCTGGCTGCTCACCAGCTCCTCTGTCCCAGCAGAAGACAAGAGCGACCCTGACAGCAAAGCCAAATCTGCCAAAAGTACCAAGAAGGAGCCAATGTCCGTGTTCCAGGTGAAGAAGGAGAAGAAAAACAAGAAGAAAGGTATGGGACGAGCAGGAGGTGGCAGCCAGTCCTGCTGCCTGATGGCATCACCCTGAGCCAACAGCCCCCGGTGCTGTGTGACCATGTCCCCCCATGTCCCTCACAGCCTCCACCAGCAGTGATGAGGAGGATGATTCCGACTCCAGCACCAAACCCATTAGGTCAGAGAAGAAGAAAAACCCAGCATCCCTCTTTCAGACTGGTGGGGACCCCCCAAAAGAGAAAAAATCCAAAAAGAAAGGTGAGAGCCCAGCACTGGAGGGGGCGGTAGGTTCTGGTGGAGCTTCTGGAGCTGCAATGAGCTTGGCCATGGAGAGGGGGTTACAATCGGTGTTGGCACGGGTCTATGCTGAGCTTGATTTTGGGGCTCAGTGGAGTCAGGATCTTCTCCCTTCTGTCAGCAGTTCCTCCCAAAGGAGCTGAGAGTGAGGAGGAGACCCCAGAGACCCTGCAGAAAAACTCCAACAAGAAGGGAAAAGCAAAGAAATCAAAGAAGGTACAAAAGAACCCTCAGAGCCATGGGGAGCCCCTCAGGGTGGGGGAAGAGGAGCTCTTCCCCTCAGGGTGGGTCAGGAGGTTTGCAGCATCCCCCAGTGAGACCCACCAGAGTGTCCCCAAAGCCACCAGCTGCAGAGCCCGGGGGGTGGATAGCAAGGAGCAATTCTCTGGGGAGGGAGGGGGGCTCTGGGATCACCATCCCCTCTCACTCAGCAGCAGAAGGAGGAGAGGCCCCCGTCCCCTGTCATCGAGGTGGACAACCTGGAGGAGTTCGTGCTGCAGCCGGCGCCGCAGGGCGTGACCGTCAAGTGCCGGGTGACACGGGACAAGAGGGGCATGGACCGGGGGCTTTACCCCACCTACTACCTTCACCTGGACAATGACAAGAAGGTGATTTGGGGTGGGGGGCATGGAGACCTCTGGGGCTCTGCATCCATCCCAGACAGCACCCTCAGGGTTTGGGGGATGCTTGCCTGCATCCCCTGTGGGTGGTGCCTGGAGGATGAGTGAACAGTGGCCAGAGAGCTGTGCTGAAGCTGGGCTGGGCTCAGCCCCTCCTGCCCCATAATGCAGACAGTATTTTGGGGAGTATCTTCATGACTTGCTCAAGGTCACGGCAGTGCCTTGTGGGGGACAGCAGTGGCGCTGGCAGTGACAATGTCCCGTTCCCACACGGTCCCACTGCTCTGCCAGGTGTTCCTCCTTGCTGGGAGAAAGCGTAAGAAGAGCAAAACCTCCAACTACCTCATCTCCATCGACCCCACTGACCTGTCACGGGGTGGAGAGAACTTCATCGGGAAGCTGAGGTAGGAGCAGAGCTGGCACCCCAGTTTGGTGGCACCCCATTTCTGCAGCACCCTCTTCTCACTCCATGACTTACAGGCTGTCCCAAGCTAGGGCTGGCACAGACAGGAGGTTAAATTCAGCGTTTCCCACTGCCGTGTCTGACCTGAAGAGTGGTGGGGGGCTGAGAGGGGAAAACAAGCTTGGCCGGTTCCTCCCAGCAGACAGGTCACGGCTAGAAAAGGTGCCTGGCAAGTCCCAGCCTGCACTGCCAGCAGCCACACAGCAGTGCTGGGGGTCCCCGTGGTGGCAGCACCCTGTCACACCCCGATTTAGGGGTTCCTTGAGCCCCAGAAAATCACTGAAGAGTGGGAAGGTCGGCGGTGGTGGGGAGCAGCACCGGGGGTTTGCAGCCAGACCAACACCAAGGTTGTGCCTGGAGAGGAGTGGTGGGGGCTCAGGGGCATCAGCCAGGGCCACGTCCCTCCCTTGGCTGCAGATCCAACCTGATGGGCACGAGGTTCACCGTGTTCGACAACGGCGCCAACCCCGACCGGGCCAACGCTGACTGGTCCAACGTGCGGCAGGAGCTCTCGGCCGTGGTCTACGTAAGAGCAGCCACACAGGGAGCCTTCCCTGGCTCCCCCAGGCAGGGAGAGAGGGGTTCCCACCCTGCACCCCTTCACTGGGGCTTGCAGACATGTGGGGTGGGCTGGAGCCACCCCCGAGCCCTCGTTCAGCCCCCATGAGCGGCCGTAACCCGCAGCGGTTGCTGGTTTTAGGGACAGGGTTTCTCTTGCAGGAGACCAACGTTTTAGGGTTCAAAGGCCCCCGGAAGATGACTGTCATCATCCCTGGGATGAATGCTGACTGTGAGAGGGTGCCCATCCGGCCCCGGAACGTAAGTCAGGGGCCAGACAGGGAGAAGCTCCCTGGGAGCTGGGTTTGCTGGGCACCACCTCGGATTTTACCCATCTTGGGGCATGGAGATGCTTTCAGCTGTCCCTGAAATTCAAGGTGTCCCTGGGAGGTGGGAGACATGGTATCTGATTTTTTTCTCCGTGATAAATCCCATTTCCAGCTGGGTACTGCTACACAGCATCCCCCAGGCAAGCCACAGGAGGTGGCAGGGCTCTGGAGGGGTCACCCCAACTCTGCTCCCCTCCCTCTTGCCCCTCCCCAGGATAACGACGGCCTCTTGATGCGATGGCAGAACAGGAACATGGACAACGTGATCGAGCTGCACAACAAAGCCCCGGTGTGGAACGACGAGACCCAATCCTACGTCCTCAATTTCCACGGCCGGGTCACCCACGCCTCTGTCAAAAACTTCCAGATTGTGCACAGCAGTGACCGTAAGCTGGGACAGGGGTGGGATGGGACAGGGGATAGGGTGGAGGAGCACTGCCTCATGACATGGCCCCAGCTCCCACTGTTTTTGTTGAAGTTTAGTTTTTTCACGCTCTGGAGTCCTGCCTGCCTTTGCTGGAGCTGGGATGGAGCCAGACAGGACTCCCTGCAGGAGCTGCCCTTGGGCCCTGGCGCTGGCAGGGGTGGCACGTGGGGCTCCTGTTGCCAGATTTAGGGCAAGGACAGATCCTGTGGGGTGCTGAGCACCCATCACACTCCAGCCACCCAGTCAGCCCAGAGCATTGTCCCCAGCACACAGCCCACGCTGCTGGCAGGCTCACCCTGGGGTGCACGGTGCCTCGGGGACGTCCCTCAGGGGTGGCAGCAGCTCTGCCTGGATGCGGCTGCTCGTCACCTGTCCGGCGCAGTCAGAAGCCCTTGGCCTCCGGGGTGTTGGGTTACGGGACAGAAAAAGCCTCTTGAGGGCCCCTGGTTATTTTTACAGATTTCCTGTCACCCGCCCTCCAGCAGCAGCGATCCCACGGGGTAGGGGGGGTGGGGTGAGTGGGGTCCCCGTCCCTTTGGGGGGGCTGTGGCACCCAGGGACGGGCATGCTGGAGGAACCAGAGGGTGCCATGGGAAAATGATGCTTTTTGGTGACCTGTGCTGCAGTACAGCGCAGCCAGCGCTGGAGTCGCGGGCCAGGTTTGGGTGGGGGTGCTTGGGCAGCTCCTTTTGGACGTGCTGGGTGCACAGGTGACAGCCCGGCCCTCCCTCCTGCAGCTGACTACATCGTGATGCAGTTTGGGCGTGTGGCAGACGACGCCTTCACCATGGACTACAGCTACCCCCTGTGTGCCGTGCAGGCCTTCGCCATCGCCCTCTCCAGCTTCGACGGGAAGCTGGCCTGCGAGTAGCTCCTGCTCCGGAGCACGAGGCTGCCCGGGGATGCTCCCGCATCCCTGTCCTGTTCTTCTCCCTGCATTGCCACCTTCTCGCAGTCACGGCTCTTCCTGGGGTGCTTCAAGGCACCTGGTGCCCACCGAGTGCTGTGGGACGCTCAGCCAGCTGCAGCCACCCTGTCCAGGCAAAGCTGGGGCAAATCGCTGGGCTGGGGCGATGGCAGAGCCAGGCTGGAGGTATATTCATATTCAGCAGATGAGGCTGACTGCAATCCCTGTCTCATCCTTTTGGATTCAGATCCTGGAAAGTCATCCGCCCTCCCCCACTTTTTGTTTTGTTTTGTTTTTGTTGGCATATTCTTTTTTCTTTTTCTATTTCTTTTTGTTATGGTTTATGCTCAGTCTCCCAGTGAGAAGAGGGTAGGTGGTCTCCTCACTTTGTGTTTCCTCATCCCTGCCCACATGCTGGTGGGCTCTGCCTAAGCTTCCAGCAAAAGCCCCCATCTCAGCTCATTGCCCAGCAAGCACAAAGCTCCTCTTTTGCCCCATTTTGCCCTGGTGTGAGTGGATGCCTGGTGCCCGTGGTGTGTTTGTACCCACTGGGTCTCACCTCACTGCCCAGGAATCGCTGGGGATTTGGGTCCCTAAGAAGCAGCCTGGCACCAACAGCGCACAGGCACGTGCTGAGGGGTGGCAGTGCCAGCAGAGGAGGGCTGGTAGGCACGTGAGGCAGAGCTTGCACTGCTGGCAGGTGGCCCAGCTGGGTCAGTGCTGCCAGGAGAGACCTGGAAGAGAAAAGTCAGGGTGCACCAGGAAGCAGTGGAGTGACTCATGAGGTGTGGTGCGGTGCTGAGTCACGCTCAGCACCCAGACGGGCCCTGCTGAGCTCCCCGTGCCCTCAGCTCTCGCTGCCCCTCTCCTCCGTGATGCCACTCCAGACCTCACGTGCCCCAGGTGTCCCCACAGCTGCCTCGCTGGTGCTCTCGTTCATGAGAGGTGGTGGACAGAAGGTGCCATGCCTTGTCTCAGACTGGTGGGGAGATGTTGAAGAGAGGCAGCTCACTGGGAGCAGGACAGCTCATGCCCCCAGTTTCAGTAGTTATGGGGTAAGGATTCGGTTGCACAAACAAATCTGATTAATTCAGCGTGCCAAGGAGCCCTGAAACACCATCCTCAACACTCTGGGGCTGTTTCTCACCTGCTCAGCTCACACTCTGGCTCCAGAACCATGTGGGATTCCCTTCCCAGGACACAAAGGGCTTGTTCCCCCATTCTGGGGGTGATATGGGCCCCCCAAGTTAATGCAGCTGAGAGGGAGCTGAAGCAGAAAGGCTGAGGATGGATGAGATGGATGTGATTGTGCAAGAGGGATGCTCATCCTCTTTGGGCAGTGTCACAACATCACCGTGGCCAGAGCCTGGAGCTGAGGACAGATGACAGTGACAGGGGGACCATGAGCTGCTGGACCACTGGTGAACATCTGCTCCAGTGGCTTTATAGAGGGGAGTGGAGATTTCCCCCAGCTGTATGAATCTGGGTTTCATGATTCTTGGGCAGAGGCTCGTGGTGAGGCAGGCTGAGGTGGACAACTTGGGGACAAGCCAGCCCACGTGGGACATCATCCATTCCCCACAGAGTGAGCTCAGAGAACATCTTGTGAGCTCAAGGGAGAACCAGCCACAGCAGTTCGGGACCAGCGTCCCTGACGAGGTATGGCCAGCAAATGTGGGGAAAGCAAGAGCTTTCTGCCCAAATCCAGCCACAAACCCAACATCTGTTTGAAATCGGGACGAGCTCAGCTAACGGTTGAGCTGATGCTCGTCCCCATTTCCTCCAGTGCAAGGAGAAAAGAAGCAGCCGGGTGAGAGAGAGGGGTTTGGGCTCCCCAGATTCTGTCTGCTGATATCCCAGCTGCTCCCCAGGTTGATTCTCCCTCCGTTCACCCAGAAAATTTCCATTTCCCATTTGCCCATTGTTGCTTGCAAACCCTCCAGGTTCCCTGGCCCGTTGCCCGTGGCAGAGCAAAAATCCCTGTCACGGGTGTCCCATGTGGTGCCACCCAATGCCAGAGCAGCCGCTGCATCAGCCGCCCACCCGAAATCCCTTTTACAAACCCTCTAACGCAAACCAACTGCGGCAGAAGAAACAAATGAAAACAATTTAATGGGGCGATGGATGTTCGGGCCCTTTGTTTGCGCTGGCTGTTAACACCAGAGGAGATGAGGGATGGAAGCAGTTGAAATGTGTATCTACTTTGGCCCGTGGAAAGTGTGACGGATGCGCCGGCAGGCCAATGGCTGAGGATGCTGGGGTGTGCGTGGGTGTGAAAGGAATGCTTGCTGCAAGAAAAGATTAAAAAAAAAAAGAAGAAGAAAGAGCCTTATCAATGGTGTTTGGGTCCAAAGTGTGTGTATTCCTTAGAGAAAGGATTTCCTCTATCGCCAGGGATGATGTTTTCCCTGCAGTGTGAGACTTTGAGGTTTCTGAAGCTTCATTTTAGGGGTGCTGGCTTTGGGCTGGTGCTGCAGGCGTGGATTTAACCCCTCAAAATGCTCGTGCAGGGCACCGAGCATGGCCAGTGGCCAGAGGCGACTGTCGTCAGCTCCTCAAGGGAACCTCCTGGGAAATGTGTTTTATTTTTGCAGTGGTGCTTATAAGGCAAAGGGGAGGATAAAACCAAGGCCCCACCTCGCTGCTGAGCAGCACATCCCCGCCAGGACCAGTGTCAGTGCAGTGCTGGCTCTCTCCATGGTTCCTCCCCATCCCGTGCTGATGAGTGGAAAGGTGCTGGTCCAGAGCTGAGCAGGGAGCTGGATGTGGGGACTCTTCTCCAACCACTGGCTTCTCCCTCTTCCACAGACCCATGGGGTTTGGGGGGCTCCATGCACCCAGCTCTAAGCCCTGCTCTCTTGGAGGGGCTGGCAGGTATTTCCATGGGTTCCAGGAGGCAAATGCCCCACCAGGAAGGCAACCTGAGGAGGGAAGGGCTGGTACATCCTGGGGGGTGTGGGAGGGGAGACCAGCACTGGGAAAATCCTTTTCCAGCAATGGAGGGGCTGGAGCTGTTTGCTTCCCAGTGAGCTGCCATGGCCCCAGCCCTGGGGGATCTCTCTCCAGCTTTGAAGTGGCAATATTTTAATGAATTAAAGAAGTGATTGCAATGAGGTGTTCTCCTCTTCCTTCCCCCTCCCCTTCTATTTATTTGGTGACCTTTTTTAGAGGGAAAGGCAGACTGCTTGCTGGTTAGCTCAGCTGTAGCTTTGCAGGATGGTCTCCTTTTCGATGCAGCAAGCGACAGGCAGCAGTGGGAAAGCCAATATTTTTCAACTGCTTTTTAAAAGGAGTAATTTTTTAATTAGTGAATCCATTCTGGAGAAGTGTTGGAGTTTTACAATGTTGTAGCTGTTCTTGGTGTCTTGCCTAGACTTGGATGTTCTGGCCATAAGAAAATATTATTTATGGCATTGCAGCTTGCAGCTCTTTTATATTATAATTTGAGAAAGGAAGTTGCTGTTCCCACCAGTGAACAAAAAAATAGCAGAAACGAGGACTATGGACTTCAGAAGGAGGAAAATAAATAAAAATTAAGAGGCAGAATGGAAACAAACCACTGAGGCAGCCTTGAATCTTTGCACTCCTGAACAAGCTCATCCCAGCATCACTATCAGTTTTGCTGGATGCTGTAGCCAGACCCCTGCCCAAATGGCAAGGCCAGGGCAGCAGTGACCCCCTCAGCTCTCCCCTGCTCAGTGTTACATGTGTTCCTAAACATTTGTGGATCAGGCTTTTTATTCATGGGCTAATGCACACTTGTTTGCTCATGCCTTACTCAGCCTAAACTCCTATTGAACTCAATTAAGGCTGTCATCTCCAGGAGCACTCAATGTCATTTTTGCCCAAGTAAGGGATGAGTAACGAGGCTCTGAACAGCCCTTGGAGAATAGCAGCCATTTTGTTGCAGTTTTTGGTCCAGATTTCGTACAAGTTAGCAGCAGGCCAAGGGTGGAAGAATGCGATATGGCTTTATGAATCACACACAATTGCTGAATGCGCTGGATGCTTCAGAGCCTGTCACTTCACGGACTCAAGCATTGGCTGTCTTGTCCCAAAATGCTTGAATACAACCGAGCTGACGATGAAAATTAGAAAAATATGTTTCTAGAAGGAATGGGATGCAAAGAACAGCAGGGTGCTGGGAGGTTTCCTCGCCCTGGTTTATCCCTGGGGGTTTTGGGTACCGTGGCACAGGCCTGTGGTGTGTGCTGGCCTAGTGGCCAGGGGGACTGGGGCTTTTGCCCCTTTTGGGCTGCAGTTCCTGATGGTCAGGCTGGGTCATGGCCAGGGGTTTGTATGTGATCTGCTCTGCTTGCTGTGGCTTAGCACATTACCACCCATCAGCTCACTCAGAGGAAGTGACCATGGCACAGATCCTGGCTGAATTCCCTTGAGAAATCCCAAAAGAGTGTGGGCTGAAATCCCCATCCTGGGCACCATGGGGTGCGTGTCTGGGACAAACGGGGAATCTGCAGATTGGTGGGATGCAGGGGACTGAGAATGTGTGTGTGTGTGTGTGTGTGTGTGTGTGTGTGTGTGAGGATGAGGAGAGCGATGAGGGTGTTTGGAGGGGGATGAAGATGTCAGGATGGGAAGGAAGAGGAGGATGAGGGTGAGCACAGAGGGCGATGAAGAGGTGCAGAAGGGGATGAAGCTGTGCACGGGTGACCCTGGCTGGCTGCGGACGGGACAGGACGAGACGGGACAGCAGCACCTGCATGCCCTGGCCAAAGGCCGCATCCCAGGGCCGCATCCGGGGAATGCTGGCGGGAGAAGGAGGAAGAGGAGGAAGGTGAGGAAGGCTCATAGAGGGCGCTCCCATAACCCAGGCCGAGCTGAACTGCAGGGCTGCCCTTTCCCAAAAAATAAACCTCCCTGTGTAAGGGAAGTCCCGCGTCCCCACTGCCCCGACGGGGAGGTCGGGAGGGTCG